CTAAACATCCGCACGCTCGCAAAACTGGACTTGCACTCTTACCAAAAATGCTGGAAGCCAGAGGCAGCCGTTCTGAAGAACAGGAAGTGCTTTTATTATTTTAAGCGGCTTTTTGTTGCGCCTTTTTGAATTTTTCTGTGCGCTTATCAAACTAGATCGAAAACTACAAGATATGATAGCATTGGCAATATCACATTCAAAATGAATAGAAGAACTGGTTCACAATGAAACGAGTGTGCAATTTGATGTTTTTACAACTATGACCAGCATTGTATTATTCCTCGCAACCTTGTCTCAATTTTTAGTTCAAAATAATGTATAGGGAAGGAATTCTGTTTTCTATTGCATGACTATGTGCTAAGTAAAAATGTTCAGATCATTAGGTTTACTCATTCTCCGACAGCTTTAATAAGATACGTCTTCTTACAAAGCCCGGCTGCGAATGTCTCAAACTTGTCTCAGTAGACAAAGCTAGTGCTAACTATGGTTTTATTTGTAAAAATTACTCTGTAAATGTACTTTCCAAACGGATGAGTACTTCCTCAACATAGAGTCTACCGAAGTACAATAACTCATCCAATACCTATCAACGTCCTACACTGATCGTAACACTTGAGAAGGCAATGCTTCCATTCGTAAAGTTTGTAAACTGTGTCATAACTTTTTTGTATTGTTTACCCGAGCTACATAAAATCCCACTGAATATGGATTCATAACAGGCGCACATAGCAGCACCAATCTGTAGATAGGAAAATCTCACCTTCATCAAAAAACATTTTGAAAATTATGTTAACCAGGAGCACTTCATGAGTACAGGCCATTAACAATAATGATAATAATCCACTAAACCATATGCATGTAAGAGTGAAATCATTAGCGGATTTCACTGACTTTTCCCTAATTTGGAGCATAATTACCAATGATATTAAAGAGGTGTTCAAAATCTACTAGGAATGCTTATAAAAAGCATGTAACCTACAGTAGATGGATACATAATGCATTTTATAGTGGTAATAATAACTATCAAAATTACAGATACTATAATCTGAGAGATTTATTGTATTTAGAAGGCTGTGATCACAAAGCTACTGAGAATTAGAATGCTTATACACACAATTGAAAAGAGTTTCACAAGGGGTATTATTTCGCTATCACACTTTCCTACTTTGAATATGAACATTCTAGAAGCTGCATTGCCAATACTTCGTCATACTATCCGTTTCAAATTATAGATGACTTATTACCCACAACAAAGGAAAGCAGACAATTATAATATTTAAGGAATTACCAAGACATTCCATTTGGAATCAAATCCTAATCAATTTAGCTCCACTATTGTATTTCGAAACACATATTTTAACAATATTACTAT